CTGCCTGCATTTTTAAAAATAATTCTTATGCATTTTCATTCAAGGTCAGCACTCAGAAGATTTTACAAATTGCAATATAGGGCTGGAAATCCCACTAAAGAACAATTAGAACAGCTGTCCCTTAATTCATCTTGTATGCTGAAGGAGGAGAAACTTGGGCATTTCTTATTGCCTCTGAAGTATGGCACCATTCCTCCCTCTGAGTCCACTATAACAGCTTTCCCCAACCTGGTGCCCTCCAGACCAGGCTGGATGAGAATGATGGGGGTTGCAGGGCAATGCATCTGGAGAGCTTGCTGCTCGAGAAGGTACACCACATGTTCCAGAGCGGGGATGCACAACTTTTGACCTTCTAGATGTTTTGGCCTGAAACTCCTATCAGCCCTAGCCAGCATAGCCAGTGGAAACAGCTCATGAGAACTGCAGGCCAAAATATCTGCAGAGCCACAAGTTGTCCAGTCCCACCCTTCAGGATCCAGAGATGGTCCCTCAGATCCAGCTAAGATCACCCTCTCTGTGTGCAGGGAGAAAGAGGCACAATATAAGTTGGCCACAGGTCAACTAGGGGCAGGGGAATGGCAGACATCACAAAAACACAACTTTGCTGTCACTCATGCTGGGCTGGTCATTTTGAGAAGCACCCATGGGGAGCCCAAGAGAGGCTCATGAGAACTTGACTTCCTCTCTCCATGTCCTTACCCCCATTCCTTCATGCGCTTTGTGGACCCTATAGGAAGGAACCCATCTTCTCTATCTAACAGCCATAATGGTGCATCACAGGGGCAGTTGGAAGTCCCCACTGCGCAAGTAGGGCCGATGCCCAGAAGTGTAATGGAGGCAACTTTCATTCAGGACAGTGTTCATGTCCTGAAGCGCAACGAGATGAATGGGAAGCTGATTTAGGCATCCCTAGTTCCCGCCTGCAATTCAAGAGGAAACCTTTCAAGAGTACATGGGGATTCTTGCTCTACTCTGCTCTGAGCATTGGGTAGTGCTGTAGAGTAACTCATAGGCATTCATCAGTTCCTGCCTGCATAGAAGGCAGTGGAGGTGCCAGATCTGCGTGGCTCTGCTGCCTTGGGCCCAGGGGAGCAATATGGAGCGGACCCTTCGTTCCCGTCTCCAGCTTAAAAGGTGTTTCCAGTAGCGGTGGGGAGTTCCAATCCCCTCCATGTCATTGCCTGGAGCATGGGAAGGCATTGTGGAGTAGACCCAAACCAGCAGCAAGCTGCAGACAAGAAAATGCAGATTCTCTACTTTACTTCCAGAGCAGAGATCTGAAGCCACCATTCACCCAAGACCAGCTTGTCAAAATGGCAAGAGATTTTTGCTGCTCTCACCAAGTGCCTTGTTGGCTGTTGGTCTCACCCATGGTAGGTTGGGTTAACCAGGCTTGGATGATACAGCAACGAACTATGGATGACAACAACAGCCCATGGGTTCTTGCGGCGAGTTGTCTGAAGACACCCAGGGTGGCCCGCCCTGTATTTTTGCAACATGACAACCCACTTACAATAGCAAACCATGGCGACTTGTCATGTCATCCAAAGCAGGTCATGAATCACCACTGATGACACTACAAAGAGATCTGTAGTGTCATGCCCCACTTAATGAATTTAAGGGAGTACGTCTTTAATTTATTTGGGTAGAACTCCAACCGATTACTCAAAACCAGATATGGCCCATAACATACAAGGTAAACATACAAGGAGACATCAGTATGGGGACGCGGCCTCATGTGTGCCACAAATATTCGTAACAGTTATGCTCCATCCCCTGGTCCTGCCATGGCAAAACATGATTTGCCCAGGAGGGCAGCTGCAAGAAGATGCATGGAGGTGCCACCAACTGAGAAAATGGAGAAATATGTCTCTCTCCTGCCCTTGTTGTGCTTGTGGTCTCTCTCGGCTTCCTCCCACTGGGAATCCCAATCTAAACCACACAATGGAAAGTAGATCAGTGACTGTCACCATCCCATCCCATCTTCCCTTTAAAACACATTTAGAGCCTTTGAAGCTATGCTAGTAAAAAAGACTAAATGTTCTTGTTACTGGGCAGAGCTGAGCTAAATTTAAGCTCTTTCTACTTATGTATTACACACACGCAAAGTGAGAGAGTTAATTTTTAAAGCTTCCTTTATGTCACAAGACCTAGCAGCTCACTGTTGTTTGTTTAGCTTCTACTGAGCCCACAGCATGTACAGCCATGGTTTGGCTATGCAACCCCCGCTCTGTCTGTCCTGGGATTACACAAGGATTGTTTGACTTGCACATGATCTGTGTTCACTGGGCCGACTAGCCTGAGTTCCAGTGCGAGGGTGTCTCCAAGTGCTGCAGCACATCATGGGTTAAATGAGCCTAATGCGCCAAACCTGTAGCCTGAACTTAGCCATTGGCTCCAGTGGAGACACTTGAATTACAGGGTGAAAAGCAGGTGTGGTGTGGTGTGGTGTGGGGGGGGCGGGTTAACCTGCACTTAAATGAAAACTGGGGCCACACACGCTTTCTCTTACCAATCACACATAACTCAAGTCTTGTGTGATTGCAAGAATATTTTCTTTGGTCCAGCATTTACCTACGGTGTCAGGAAGTCTAAATCAGAAAGATGTGATGCAACTCTAGCAGCCGAGAATTACGGAAAAAGCAAGCATAGGAAAATTGTTAGGGAATCAAGCAAACTTTGAGTGGATTTACCTGGAAATACTCCAGCAAAATATCCATAGAAATATTGATCAGATATGGAAAGGGTCAATGTCATTGTATCATAAAGACTACATTTATTCTATCACTACTTGGTATATTTTTAAGTGGCAAGTGCTTCCCCTAATAGTTATTGCAGCTATTAAAAAACATAGTCCAGTAGCATAAGCTTCTTAAGTAACATTCATGTCTTAGGGAAGTTTGCATAGGAATTTTGGGCAGGCACTTTTTGCAGCGCTGCTGATGGGAGTTCAAAGCATTTTGCCCCTTGAACTGTGTGTGCGCCTCCAAGTCTCTGCAGAAGGCCTTCCCCTGAAAGTGAACGAAGTTTCCCCGCTCCAACATACCTGCTGGCAACATGCTTGTGAGCATGCCTAGAGTGTCTCTTCTGGGGTGGGGGGGGGGGGGCGTTAATGGACTGAAGGGCACATTGTCTTTAAGCATCTGCAGAGCACAATTTCCGACTGACCAGAGGAAATTACTTTTATAAGGGCATTCAGAAAGTCTAATATGAAAATAGAACACAGACCCTCTCCCCACTCCAAAAAATAAAATAAAATAAAATAAAATAAAAATAAAAAATAAAAAAATCACCCAGCTTGACAACCATCCATTTTGACAAGGCTAAAAAAATCAAATTCTGCAGAAGAGGGCAACCCTTGAAAGTATGGGCATTCTACCCCATTTCCAGTACCACCATGACTAAAAGTGGATGATAAACAACAATCAAGATGCTCCTCCATGATAAGAGGGAAAGAGGAAGTGAGTAAGAGCACTAGCATGCCATAAAATAAGGAAAAGAAAACTGGAGAGCTGAGTTGCATGTTATAATCAGCAACCCAAATGTCGGCAGTTTAACTAGAACTGCTAAATTACAGGCATGTGTTTGATCAAAACCTCTTGAGATGTAGGTAACAAGAATGTCCTGGGTAACAAGAACAAATAGGAATGTTGAATGATTGTGGACCTTTTTCCTAAATCATTTCACGTCTGTAGAATTTTACTGTATTTAACTCTTGCCTCCCTAAACTTCCTATGTACCTGAATGGTCTGCAGACTGAAACCGCTGGCTCTGGGGCAACTATGTTTGGGGTCTGATTGGTGCAGGATGCTGTCATTGTTTTACATTCTGGGAATTCTGTTCCAAATTAGGAGGTCATTTTTTAAGGAGCATGTTAATACCTAAAGAGAATAAAGCTAGCAAGGGCCATTAGTCATGGCAGATATAAATTATATCTAGTAGGAGAGGAAGTATGCCTTGCAATACCATTTTTGGGGGAACACGAGCAGGAAGGCGCTATTGTATTCATGTCTATCTTGTGTGCTTCCCCCAGGCACCTGCTTGGCCACTGTGTGAAGGGAATAGGCTTTTAGTCCAGCCCTTCTTAAGTTTATACTTCATTTTGGGTATATACAAAGAAGATTCTAAGTAACCCTGTTCTCAGTTTCAAACTATTTGATGAAATACTTCAGAGAAGATAAGAAAACACCTAACACAGTGGCCTGGATTCAGTTCACCATCAGTAACTTTTTCTACCTCAAGGGTTGCTGTAAAATGTGAAATGGCAGGGGAGAAAACTTGGTACAAACCCCTTAGCTCCTTGGAGGGAGGATAGGATATGAAATTTCATTAAGAAGTAATGTAGGTCTATTGTTGCCAGAAGTCTAAGTCTTGGAGAAGACATGTTTGACTACCAGATTGCAAAAGGAAAGAGATGCCAGATTTACAGATGGCAGCTGTATGTACTTCAAGATGAGGAACTCTATTTCAGGCTTTAGTGGAATATAGAGAACTGTGGGTGGATTTGAGAGAGATGATATAGGTAGTATATATGAGGAAATATAATTAGACTATTCTATTTAGAGGTGGATTTGCAGAAGTAATGAATAGTAGTTGTGAACTGAACTGATTTTGAGTGGAACTGATCTGGGGTAATCCTGAGAAGGTGCAAATTAATTTAAGGTGCAGTCATACACAAGTTTGAAATGGGTCTACATCTCTCTTCCAGGGCTACCAACTGCAAGTCCTGTTTCTGTCAAAACTTGTAAAGGACTGTGCCCTTAAGGATTTATTTGGATGGACGATCAGCCAATTTGCTTTCTGTGAAATTTCAAGCAATTTTTACTGAATTTATCCATATGTGCAAATTAGAACCTGCAAATTGCAATATAAATTTGCATCTATCAGTCCATGCCTGAATTATTTAAGATCCTAGCAATGCTGCTGGAAGGAACCAATTGATATTTACTCATGTTGTGTGTTAACATAAAACCCTTATTCCTTTTCAACTGCCTACTTACCTTTTTGTAACTCTTCCAGCTGTTTGACTGCTTCATCTCGCTCCTGTTTGATTTTGTCACACTGCAAAAAGAGATAATGGCATCTTCATATTAGAAACTGAACCTCCATCTGATATCAACAGTAAAGTAGATCAAAAATATGTGAATCCGGTTATAACTACAAGAACAGTTTAACTTAAAACTTGAATGTAAAATAATAGCAATGGATGTGTGAGTCAATTCCTGCTTTTACTTTTTAAATTCCAGTAGAAAAAACCAGACAAACAAACAAACTTGAAATGGCAATTGGCAGCATGGGCATTTATGGACAAAGCACACATATCTAAATGACCTGGTTTTTCTTGCATGAAACACAATTCTTTCTCCAAATGCTGCTTTCATGTTTAATGCAAGAAACTCTGGCCATTTAAACAAGAATGCTCCATTCACTATTGCAGGCTGGAAATAATAGTATTTCTAGCTCAACACATGGGCGGGGCGGGGCGGGGCGGGGTGGGGCGGGGCGGGGGTGAGTCACTACATATGTTTCGTGCTATTTAAATTCAGGTACTCATTGTGCTCAAGTGTAAAATGAATTGTCTCCGAAGTTCTCTGAAAACGTGGCATGAAAAGATCACAGGTCATTTCCTTATTTCTCTTACATCCCATTATCGTGGTGTTCATAAATTTCACATCAACACAGAGAGTAGTGATACTGTGCCACTCCTTTCCTAGTTTCATGTACAACACAGGAAAGGGACGTCCAGTTTTTGTAAAAGATAATCAAGTACTAGAGAATTTTATTCACCTCGCCTGGTGTGTTCTGCAGCTCACATGCACACTCCACTCATAACCACAATAATTTCTGGGTCAAACAATCCAGGAATTGCCACCAAGACATGTGAACCAAATTTGGGTAGGAAATGATTCTCTAGATTACATATTCTCCAAATAAAAGAGCCCACTGCCTTGGAGAAAATTCTCATATAGTTTACTTTTTCAAGGAATCTTATTGACTTCAGTCATTCATAATCATGAGCAATCTGCAAGGAATTGTTCAGAAAAGATACTGAAGGTTAGTCAGTCAAGGATAATCCCAAATTGTTCAAGATAAATGTTTAGCTCAACTTTCATTTGTCAAGGCTCTGTTTAAACTGGTTTCTAAATGTTGATTATTCTATGCCCAGGAATTATTGTAGTTTCATACAAGAACAGACCTTGCCAAGTCCAAATTCTCTCAGTTTTGTATGTTTCCAGTCTTATGTTTGTTTGGTTTTTACATCAGTTCAACTGAGCATCTAGATGATGGAAACCTCTAGCAGACGAGGCCATCAGAAGTCTACCATTCTCCAACAGTGCAGGCTTTAAAGAAAACATATATTTTTACTCTGGTCCTCTCTTAATATTTTTCCTTACTTTTGTTGCTGTTTTTATTCTATTTTATTATGATTTTACTATTAGTTTTATGTGTTTTATTGTTATGTACTGCCTCGGGCTTCTGTGCTTAAAGACAGACAAAAATAAAAGGACGTGTCTTTCCACCAACATTATAGCTTCCAAAAATGTAATAGAAAGAGAGCCAATTTCCCTTCTGCTCTGCAAGTCCCATATCCTCTCAAAATCTGCTCCAGAGGTTTGGGATGCTCTCAAGCGTAGATTTGAAGGCAACGGGGAAAGAATGGCTATTGAAGGACGTCTCCTCTTGTTTTGTGTGTTGAAGTGCAAAATCTCAGCCACTTCTCCGGCCAGGAGTTTGAGGGGCCATTCTGGAAGCATGTGTGCCAGTGTCTCTAGAAGCAACGTAATGCTCACAAGGACCTGAGAAACTTTAAATACCAACAGCATAGAAACATCTTGTCACTTGTCCATATTTCTTGTTACAGTGCAAGAAGGATATTTCTTGTTACCTCACACTGACTTTATAAACAGCTTTCAGTGCCAATATTACATTACTGCAGTTTACTCTTTTTTTTTTAGAAAAGGCAATGTATCTGAAGGCTATATATCTAAGAGATATACTGACATGGTAAACACATAGGTTGTTAGCCCTGTTTGTTTCAGGATGATTTGTTATGTTACCTGAATCTTTTGTAATTTCCTAAACAACCTTGCCCAAGCCGTCCTGAGAACCCATGGCTTACTGTTTGCCTTGATCTGTAAAGCCAGTCTGATGGCTTGTGCATGGATTGTCACATGGGCTACAGAACCATCTAGAAAGAATGTTGAAAAATTCAGTCCTTCCTTGCTATTTCACTACTGATGTCCTTTCGATATTGCATCTTGAGATGACACCAGTCAATTTGCTCCACTTCACTGCCTCCCTGAACAAAGAAATAGCAACACCATATTTTCCCATCCTCAGGCTATTTATATTTAACTTTAACATTTAACTTTTTTGTCTACCTTTGGGCAAAATTTTGGGAAGATATGCACAAATCCAGGAAACCCCAGTAATTATCCAAAACAAAAATAAACAAATGGGTTAAAAATTTGCACAAATCTCTCACAGATGAAAAGTAATGCTAAAGATGCACAAATTTCCCTGAATGCAGAAAAAAAAAATTCTCAAAGGTGGAGAAACGTCTGCAAATGAGTACACTGGCACTCGTTAGTGCAGCAGGCCACACAGAGGCTGCTCCTGAAAGGTCCAGGGTCTGGGCACATGCAGCAGGACCAGCAAGAAACAAGCTGCTGTACACCGCAAAGCTGACATACCCCGTTGGGTGTAATGTGAGCTTCTGAACAGACAACAACCCGTTGTAGTACATTTCCAGGGTGCCAGCTAGCCCACAACCTTGCTTGGGCTGATTTTGCAGGTATAAAAGAAAACCAACCATGGTGGCTGGACTGTAATGTTCTACTATTGCCTGGTGGTTTCCACTCTCACCAGGTTCAGATATCACAAAAACGTGCATCCCACAAGGGTAATTAGTCTAATGAGGTGCCTTACAACCAGCACATGCAGAGAGGGCAAACAAGCCATCGTGGTTTTCTTTCCTTCCTTGTACAAGGCTTGCTTGTATGTCTTCTCAAAGCTGGTTGATCTATGACTGGAGTTAAACTGATCTTTGCCAACTCAGGTGAATTCCTGGGCCATTCAGTCCTCCTTCCTATCTCAGATTACTTGTAATTCCAAAGAACTTTATCTCACTCCCAGCTTCACCCTGATGTTCAAATAGGACATTTATTTCACTTACAAACTGAATCTAGGATCACGAATTGGCCCAGGGCAACTCACCTTTTCCCAGGTGTTCATCATAGAACAGTAGAACTGGAAGGGGCCAAGAAAGTCCTCAGGTCCAACCCCCTGCTGTTGCAGGACACCAGTTTACACCATTCCACCCAAATGGCTGTCAGCTATCTTTCTGAATGTCTCTAGTGTGGGAGAGCCCACCACCTCTCTAGGCAGCTGTCGTATTGTTGTGACAGTAAGGAAGCTTTTCTTGATGTCTAGCCTGAATCTGGGTTGTCATAACTTGAATTGATTATTCTGTGTCCTGCCCTCTGATATCAGTGAGAAGAGATTATGTCCTTCCTCTTTGTGACAGCCTTTGAACTACTTATAGAATTATATCATGTTCCTCTTCAGTCTTCTCTTTTCAGGGCCGAATGTACCCAGTTCTCTCAGTCTCTCCTCAGAGGGCAGCATTTCCAAATCCTGGATCATTTTTGTTGCCCTCCTCTGGACCCTAATTTTTCTGCAACTTTCTTAAATCTTGGTGCCCAGAACTGGACACAGTATTCTTGATGAGGTCTGACTAGTTAAGAGTTATAGGGGAACTATTACTTTTCATGATATGGAACTAATACTTTTATTAATTTAACCCAAAATAGCATTTGCCCTTTTTGCAGCTGCATCACATTCTTGGCTCCTATTTAGCCTATTGTCCACAATAGCTCCAAGGTTTTTCAGTTCTGTTGAGCCATGTATTTACCATCTTGAATTGATGCATTTGTTTTCTTTTTCCTAGGTGGAGGACTTGGCATTTGTCCCTACCGAATCTCACTGTGCTGCTTTCAGTCCAGTGTTCAAGTTTATCAAGATCTCCATGAATCTTCATTTTGTCTTCTAGTTCGCTATTCCACCCAGTTTTGTACTGTCTGTAAATATGACATCATTCCTTGTACTTCATTATGTAAATCATTAAAAAAGATGCTGAAGAGCACTGGGCCTAGGAGTAAGCCCTGTGACTTCCCAATATTTACCTTTCTCCAGTTTGAGAAGGTGCCACTGATGAGCACTCTTAGTGCCTGATTTAGCAGCAGATTTTGGATCCACCTAATAGTCTTTCTATCCAGTTCACTTTTTACTATTTTGCTTATCAGGATGTTGTAGGGCACTAGGTTGAAAGCTTTGCTAAAGTCAAAGTAAATTATGTCCAGAGTGTTTCTGCTCCCCATTTAGGATCTTACCCAGTCAAAAAATGAGATTAAATTAGTCTGACAGAGCGCTTCAGCATTTGACTGAATCCTTAAACAAGGAAACAAATCAGGACATAGAGCATTATTATCATCTTCTCTATTAACATGAGGAGGGGAAACAGGTCTATTGTTCCAAGCCAGACTTCCACAGATTTAGCAGAAGATGGAAACAGGCAAGTACAGTTGTAAGCACGCAGAAATTCCTTCATCACCTCCTGCACAATGCCGTCATTGTTGTTGCTATTATTGTGTTGTGTTATTATTGTGTTGCATTGTATCCCATTATTATATTTTCTAAACCATCTTAGGGTGGTTTCCTAAAAAGTTTATCAAACTTTTAAACTGAATACATAAATAGAATAAATTGTGTACCTGATATTCATACATGCAACTCACTTACATGCATACACACAACGCACAGTGTTATAAGGACAGGAGCAGGAGCAGCAAGAGGATGCTAACAGCCTTAAGCTCCTTGAAGGAAAAAAGGCAGGCTATAAATATAATTACATCAATCAATCAATCAATCAATCAATCAATGAGAAAATTGGGCTTAAGGCTTAAACAAGACAATGCAGGAAATCCATGATCAGGCTCTCCCGTGGTTCCTCAGAAGTTATGAGCAGCCATGGGGGAACTGACTAAACTAAATCAGGGAGA